GAGCAATCTCAATCTCTTCACCATCCATCCTGATGCTTCCAATTGGCCCAGTGGTGAGAATCTTTGTCTTCTTGACATTGAGCCTCAGTCCATACTGAAAGCTGCAGTCCTTGACCCTCTGCAGTAAGTGCATGCTATTAGAGCTCAAACTAAATCAGAAGTAGCTAATCCTTGGGAAAAGACAACATGCTGGGAAAGGTGAGGTGAGGAGGCTCCTACTCGTTATCACACAGCAACAATATATTATTTATATATGCATATCTATCTGTCTATCTATCATCTATCTATCTATCATCTATCTATCTATCTATCTATCTATCTATCTATCTATCTATCTATCTATCATCTCTCAAAGCCTTGGTGGTCTAGTGATAAGAAGCTACACTGCAATCCCAAAGGCACATGGTTCAAATCCACCAGCTGCTCCATCAGAGAAGGGCAACCTCTTCCTGTACAGTTTACTTCCTCTGAAAACTAGAAGGTCAGCTTTTTCTGTGCTTCTGTCTTATCATCATAGTGCTCATCTTCAGTGGTTCTTTAAAATTTCACTTGAAGAAATAAAATCATTTACAGAACATGTCTTTGTTTCTTTACCTTTGGATGTGCACGGATTCCTTCTCTCCCAGTTTTTAATACTCAAAGTAGTTGTATAGAGAGGAAGACCCTTGATACAATGGATCGATTCAGTATTGGGGGTAACGGGGGTAGGTATGTCAGAGACAAAAAGGTTGGCAAAGGATAGAAAAGGGTTTAGGGCTCTTGTCCATAGGGTCGCTATGAGTCACAAGTGACTCCACAGCACATAACAACAACAGATATATTTATATGTTGAAAATGCCATAATCAAAATATCAGGCAAAAAAGGCCCTCTGGAATTTGAGGGCATGCTTACACCCATATAGTAGATAGCTTGTAGAGACCAGGCTCATAGGAGACATCAGGACAGAGTACAGAAAAGTCTGTTACCACAGAAAGGGTGTTTGCTGTGCTTAGAAATATTTCTTTTGTCCCATCTAGTTTAGGACATTCATACCTGAGTAAAGAAGCTGTTTGGACAAGAAGAGAAATAACCCAACCCTCCAACAAGGGGAAAAGTCCCAGCGTGCTTTTATCAGATTTTCCATGAAGTCCATGCCTGAAAAGAAGTGAAGAAACATGGCTCTGAGGATGCATTCATGGAAGAGATGGATGCAGAGTAGGGGGAAGCTGTCATGGGAAAGATAGACCAAGCAAATTCCCCTCTTTGAAGCTGATACTTGGTGTCTCTTGTTTTTTTTCCCCTCTGCAGGAGAAGATGGTGTGCTGCCTCTCCTGACACAAGACTCTAATTCCAAAGCTCGGAGAGGTATTTTAAGAAGAGCTGTCTTTTCTGAGGACCAGAGAAAGGCTCTGGAAAGAATGTTTCAGAAGCAGAAATATATCAGCAAGACAGACCGAAAGAAACTTGCTATCAATTTGGGACTAAAGGAATCACAGGTAGTAATGAGCATAAAGATGTCTATTGCTCCTGATTTCTGAAGTAGTATAATAAACTCTGCATATCTGGTGAATAATAAATGCACTGGGCTTGATGTGAGACCCTGAGGTGTTAGTGCAATGACTTTTCATAATGTTTAATAGATAGAAATACATATCACAATTGTTATTTGAAAAAATGTCCATTTTGCTGATAGGTCTAGTTTCTTTTTTTTTCCCCCCCTCCTTTTGTCATTGGGCTGATTAATTCTTTCCAAATCAAGAAAAATGCTAATGGCATTACATTTACATCATTAGATTGTTTACTTTCCATTCAAAGAAACTGGCTTTCATAATTTCTTACAAAAGCAGGAACCAATTTTCTTGTCTTTTTCTTCATTTCCAACTGAAAAATGAAAGCAAAATGAATGACTCATAAATACCCCTATTAAGGGGTTTCATTATTTTCTGCTTTGGGTTTATATCAAGTATAATAAGGTATTCATAGTGATCTTACAAGGCACTGTGGAACTGCCCCTTACAGTTTCCAAGACTGTAAATCTTTATGGAAACAGCTGCCACATCTTTCTCACACAGAGCAGCCATTGGATTTAAACCATTCACCTTTCAGTTGACAGCCATGCACTTAACCTCTGCAGCACCATGGCTCAAATGCCTTGGAATGGACTCACTAGCATTGGTGGTTTTTTTGTTTTGTTTTGTTTTTACTCACTTTTGCAACATTTATAAACCTTCTTTAAAATTTATAAACCTTCTTTGTACATTCAAGTTTGAATGAAGGTTTTAGGGACCTTAGGGAAGTATAGAAAAATCCCATTTAAAGAATGGCCTACTTATTATAATAATTAATATGACAAAGTGACAATTTCCTTGTTAAACCTTACAGTGACCATATAAATTTATTCTTGTAATCACCACCATAACTATCCCAGTTTTCTAGATGAGGAAGAGTAGAGCAACAGAGATAAAGGCAGTGTTCACATAATGAAGTTGCTTTGGAAGTAAGTTCCTGTCACAGGCAACCTGACTCTGGAGGGTTTCTTTTTTCTCTTTAACTGATAGCCACCATGTACAGTGATGCGGGGTGTTGTTCACTGCACAAGCGTTCCTGTTTAAGGTATTAGTGAGAGCTGTAAAGTGGGAGGTTCTTTGCTGACCATGTAGTTGCTTTGTGCCTGTTATGTCATCTGATTTTTTTTTTTTTTTAAATTAGGATAAAGGCATAGAGGCTACTAATACCACTGCCTACTACTATTGCATTGGTTCCAACTCATAGTAACTGAGTTTACTCAGCTATAAGTCTTTACTGGAGGAGACCTCCCATCTATCTCCTGTGAAACAGCTGTTGGCTTCCAAGCACTGACATTTTTGAAAGCCCGGTATCATGCCTATGCCACCAGGATACTTTCACTCAGGGACTAGCAGAGGCTTTCTCTTGACTATTGTACTCCACTATTCTCTCACTGTTAGTGGCGTGTTTTAACATTTACGCCTTTTTAAATGAATGATCATTTAAGAGTTGATCGACTCTTATCAACTTTGCTTCCTTTCCTTCAGGAAGCGATCCCTCTGCCTCCAGCATCTTTAGTAGGAAGCAGGCTACACTGCGGTAGAAGATAATTTACCTGGATACATTAGTGGGAGTTCTCTTCCCAGTGAGTTGCTTAGAAGACCATAACCTTCATTATGTCCATTTTACTTCAGCTTCTCACTAACAAAGTAGGGACAAATATAGATGCTATGTCATAAAACAATGGTTTGCTTAACTGATGACTCATTAGCTAGATTGTAGTGGTCGACTGTGTGTGAGACCCTGTGCTACATGGACAGAGCTTTGATAAGAACTGATTAAGATGTATTTCTCCTACCCCAGGAACTTAGTTACAAAACTGTGGAAATAAAGCTCATGAGAAATTAGCTAGAAATATAAGAGGGTGGGAAAGGTCACAAGAAAGGCATCCCTATTAGTCTAAGTTAAAATCATATTAAATTTACTACCGATAAAGGGAGCTCTTGTGACCTGGTATAATACATGTTTTATTGCAAATCCAAAAGTTAGTGGTTTGGATCCACCAAGTACTCCACTTGGCAATTGGAGAATAATAGGCAGTTCTCCTCATAATATCTACAGCTTTGGACACCGGATGATAGGTGACAATGAGTTGGAATAAATTTAACAGTGGTGGGCTTTAAGGGGGCTAAATGAGCATGCGTCTTCCTGGAGCCCTATAGTAATTCTCATGTCTATAAAGGATAACATTAAGATTCTAGCGTACATACATACCGAGGAAGTCTAGTGATGGAACTGTTTGACCTGTCAGGAATTGCTTAGAGAAGACCACAGGAGGGATCCATAGACCTGGCCTGCATCCCATTGGATAAGAATTCCATAGTGTGTGTGTGGGGAGGGGGGAAGAATTCACAGACTATGGAAGCTGGGGAATTTCTGATTGAGTCAGGTGTTAAAAGAAAAGTGGATAGTGGTTCTGTTAGGCTTGACAGTGTTCAGAAAAAGTGTGAAAATCTCTGCTATAATATGCTATGCACTTAGAAAAATAGTCTGTTGGAAAGCTAACACAATAACCATTACAAAATATGCATGGAGGATGAGTATATTTTCACTAGTCCCCATAAAGCGCAGATATTTTCCTTCTTGCATGTTATCTTCCAGTGGTTTTCCATATGTATTTAGTTTTACAAAGCTAATTATATTGTTTTAAAAATTCAAGTGCCTCAGGAATGAATACTTTTTATGTTATTGAATTTGTTGGGAAATCTCAGAAGTAATTTAGTTTTTCATATTTACATATATATAGTATGATACAGTACATGATACATTGTTATTAGCTGCCCTTGCATTGATTACAACCCATAGAGGCCCTACATAAAATAAAATTAAATTCAAACAAAAAATAGGTAAGGTTAAAAATAAAAACTCATCTACTTTCCCTTCTAATGGAACCCAACTGTTGCTCAACTACTTTAATTTATTAAGACCGCATGTATTGCCTTTAAATTAAATATGTATGGACAGTATATTTGTATGACCTGCAGTTTTTAGTAATATGAATGGTTAGCTCACTTGGTTAATAACTAAAAGTTTGGATGGTTGAGTTCGCTTAGGACCACTTAGTAGAAAGGCAGGCCAGTCAACATCCATCCGGAACCCTGTGGGGCACAGTTCTCTGACACTCGTGGGTTCGCATGAATTGGAATCAATACAATAGCAGCCTCCCCTTCCCCTTTCTTTTTGTATCTGCACAAACACATATCCTTGTTGTTGTTGTTAGGTGCCGTCAGATCAAGTATGACCCATAGCACCCCTATGAACAACAGATCTGAACCCTATCCTATCCTGTGCCATCCTTACAAACACATAGCAAGACAGATAACAAATACCACACAATACCTACTATGTGCAATACGCACAATACCCTTACATTTGATAAGTCACTTCACCCCTACAGAGAGATTATTGGGTAGGTACTTTCAGCATCCCTGATTTTACAAATTGACCTGTTGATCTGCTTCTGAAAAGTTATAGCCTTGGAAACTCTATGCAACTACCCTTGTTGCCCACCTGGAGTCTTCATAAATTATAAACAATCAAGCTATCTGTAAATTTTACACTAAAATAAAGTTTTACTACACATATATGTTGACTTTTAAGTGAGCCAAATCCACTCTATATTCAGCACACAAATCAAGAAAGAGAACATTCCCAGTAGGCTAGAGCACTCGGCCTGCCTCTTCCCTGACATTCGTTCTCCTTTCAGTGGTTTCCGCCATCCTTACTTCTAAAAACAGGGATTAGTTCGCCTGCTTTCAGACTTTCTTTGAATAGATTCATTTGGTACATATTCTTTTGCAAAGGCCGTGTTCTGTGAAATTCATTCACTCATGTTGCGGAATGTAGTAGACAGCTCATAAACACATATTCTTGTGCACACTATGCCACTACATTGCTTTATTTTTTTTATATTTATATATATATATTATATATATTATATATAATATATATATATATATGCTTTTATGCTATATTTTTGTGCACACTATGCCACAACTACATCTTTTTACCAGTGACATTGGATTCTTTCCCATTTTAGGCTGTTGCAAATAGTGCTAACAATACACATTGCTTTGTACTTCTTTTCCTACTCAAATATTCATGGATATCCTTTTTTGTCAGTACATAAAAGTTGTTATTAGGTGCTGTTGAGTTGAGTATGACCCATAATGAATACATAAAAAGTATCCCATTCTTTTTAGCAAGCGCCTCATGACAGACTTACATATATTTATTATGATTCAGTTAGTCATCTTCAAGTTTGTTACCTTTCATTTACATTATTGCATATCTTTGTGTGTTTAAAAATTATTTTATGGAAGTGTTGTTGTTTGCTGTTGACCCATAGCTGATGCTCCAGTAGATTTTTAAAGGAGTGTTGCAGCACAACCTCTTACCACTAGGCCACCAGAGGATTCCAAACTCACTGCCTTTGAGTCGGTTCTGATTCATAGTGATCTTATAGGACAAAGTAGAACAGTCTCTTAGCGTTCCAAGGTTGCAAGTCTTTCCAAAGCAGATTGCCACAACTCTTTCCCATGGTACAGCTGGTTGGGGTTCAAATGATCAACCTTTCAGTCCACGGAACCAAACTAAGTGTTTAACCATTGTATCACTAAAAATGAAAAAACAAAAAAATAAAATGTGCTACCATCAGTTAAATTTCTGTTCATAGTAACCTTGTAGAACAGAACAGAACTGCCTTTTGGGTTTCCAAGAGTATAAACTGAAGTAGGTTTTCACATCTTTCTCTCATGGAGCGGATGGAGGGTTTGCTAACCTTTGGGTCTGCAGCTGAGTGCTTAACTACTGCGTCATCAAGCCTTCTTTACATATTAATAGCTGTAAAGATTTCTTTCCAAATACAGTATTTTACCAGAGTAAATTCTTAATTAAGTGAATTATTCATTTTTATTAGTAGACATTTCCTTTTCTGCAAACTACTATTTTTTATTTAAAACTGCAGCTAATATCATGAACACTAATTTTTTTTTAACGTTTTAGTTTTCCTAATCACTAAATCTTGATCTTAGGTTTTTTAATTCTCATACTGGAATATACAGTTTGAATGAGTCTCTTTGCTGTGTATTATTTAAACTTTTTTGTTGACAGATAGCAGTTATTTTGTCTATTAGTCTAAATATTTGGGATATTATAGTTATGAACATTTTCTTATTACAGATGAGAAAAGTCTTTGAGTTTTCAGAGGATTTTTTTCATGCACTTGTGATGTCTTTAATTGTACCAAAATTGCTCATTATTATGTAATCTGCTTGTCTTTTCCTCTGTGATGTCAGTTTTATACTTTTCTTTTTTTTAATTTTTTTTATTATTTTTCTGTGAGTGTACCGTCAAATCAGATCTGTCTGGTACAGGAGGAGATTGTCCCTCCTTCCCTGGCAGAGCATCTGGTGGATTCGAACTGTGCACCTCTGGGATTGTAGTTGCAGCTCCTTGCCACTAGGCCACCAGAGCTCCCCTATACTTTTCTTAAGAAAGCACACATCTCCCTAAACTTTAAAGATAACTTTATATTTCTTTTAGAACTTTCATCACTCACTCACTCATTGCCATTGAAGCAATGCCAACTCATAACAGCAACCCCCCCCCCAAAAAAAAATCAGGTTTCTGAGGCTGTAAATCTTAAAAGGGAAAAACTGTCTGTCTTTCTACCTAACAATGGCTGATGGATAGGGTTATTATTTTTTTTAATTCTTTAATATATCTGCATTTTCTAAATAATGTGTGAGGCAGAGTTTTTTATGTTTTCCTAAATATACATATTTATCCCAACACCATTGATTGTGAGAAAATCAATGATTTCTTTCATAGTGATATTAGTAAACAGATATTTCTGTACCTGCAGAACAAAAACTAAAGGGAAAAGGAGATGATGAGAAAGGCAAGAACCATTAGAACTGCTAATGGAAGCAATTAACTGTCCAGTGAAATCCTATTTGAAAGAAATTCATGGCACACTTTCTAGAAGCCAGTGCCCACTGCAAATAAGATATGAAAGCAAGAATAGAGCCATCTGCTTTGGTAGATACACGTTTATCTTGTTTTCTTATGAAAAGCCACAATCACAGGATTGTAACTGAGATAACCATCTCTCAGACTCAGTTGCCTGACAGAGATTTCTTTTGTTGCCAGTGTGAACATAACCAGTCAAGTTGAAAGAATGAAAAATAATTTTGCCAATCAGAAATAAACCCTTCTCAAAATATTTGCTTTTCTTCATTAGGTGTTTGATTAGGAGATTTGGTTGATAATTATAATCTTTCTAGGAAAACATTTTTCCAGTTTTGTCTTTAGGTAGAAGGTTTTGGTGTAAGGATGTCATATAATACACAGGAAAATAATGTGATTGGCATTAAAGAGATGAAGGGACCAACTGTGACTTTATCTTAGGCACAGTTGACTACATAATGGATAAAAATGAGAATGAGGCAAAGAGAAAATATGATTTAAACCCTGGATGAGATGCATTGACACAGTGATTGTGGCAATGGGGCCAGGATTGTCAGAGATGGTGAAGTTGGCTCAGGATAGGCCAAGGTTCAAAACTATTATTCATAGAGTCAAGATGGATCACAGTTAAATCAAGGGCATTTAAAAACAACAACAATAAAGCAATAGCAACATTTTAAATACTTTTAAAGTAATCATAATCAGTTGTTATTTGTTGAATCCAGTTCTTGGATTTTGTTAAATCCTAGGAGTGGTATAAAGAGGTCTGGAAGCATAGTCCATTGCATGTCGTGCTGCTATATCCAAAAGTCCATTGCTATCCAGCAATTTTAATCCGTCACTCAGTGGGAAAGATGGACAGTCCCCTCTTGTTAAGAATTACAGCCTCAGAAACCAAATAGACTTCATATTAGTCAGATCCCACTTGAAGTCTTTGAATTTGAGAATATAGACTTAGAAACTATATAAAGCCTATAGTTTTTCCAAGAATTATAACATGAATTCTATGAAAGTTCCCTTTACACCTGAATGTTTGTAAGAATCTGGGCTCTGGGATTGGATGTTATGGATGGATTCTATTCTCAAAATTTCCATATTACTAACTTTGTGCCCATGAACCGCAGTTTTTTTCAAATATGAAATGAGGACTTGCCAGGTATCCTGAGGACTGAATGGTGTGTAATCCACATAGAATATAGAATATGTGGCCTGATGTACTTCTTATGGAGCACAAAAGAAACACTCAGAGTCTTATACTAGTCAGTATATTTCATCTGAAAAATTAATTTGGCACAGATTAAGTGGTGGTTTAAAATCTCTAACAGAGTTAAGTCCATTCTAAAGATGTCAAGAATACAGGGTGGAACCAATTTAGCAGTCCTTTTGCTGCAGAGATGTCTATGTGGCTATTGTATTAGAGTGATTTCTCAGGTTTTTAAAAGAAGGCCATGTAAGAAAAAAAAAAAAATAAAAGGCAGGAGCTTTGCTGATTGGCCTTTATAATAAAGTTTTCTTTAGAAAGGATCATTGATGAGACTGCAGTTGAAAATGCTAAAATGAAATAATCTGGAATAAGTGATCATTTTGTCCAATTACTTTATCAATAGGTGAAAATTTGGTTCCAGAACAGAAGGATGAAATGGCGAAACTCCAAAGAAAAGGAAGTGCTTTCTAACAGATGTGTCCAAGAAGTAGGCCTCCAAGAAGATCCACTCTCGAGATCAGCACTGGGTTTCCCGTCTCCGTGCCCTTCAATATGGGACGTCTCCCAACAGCGTGCAAGTTCAAGATGGAGGGAGAATTCTCCAGAACCTTCAGAAAGACTAATTCAGGAGAGTTCAAGGGCTCCATCGCTGGAAGCAAATTCCCTAAAAGCATCCTTGTATTTGTGTTCTGAAGAAGACGGTGGAGATAAAAATGTACTTACTGCAGCTGTTTGAATAGAATCAGTCCTCCATGTTCATCTAAAAGAACACTTCACTAAAAGAACACTAAATAGCGTTTGGACTCTGAATCCAGCTAGCTTGTGCCTCATCAGTGCCTAAAACCTAACACCTTTGAAATGATGCAGGAACTAATACATGCTTTAGGAGAATTGTTTCATTGTTCTCACATTTGTCCCTAGACACAGGCTTAAGTCATATGTGGAATAGAATCTCCCAGTAAGATGATACTAAAAAGAACAAGAGCAATTGATGACACAGCCCTTGTTCTGAGTATATGTATATGTCTGTATCTCTGTTTGTATATACATAAAAATATTCATTGAAATTTGATAGTAGTAACTAGTTTTTTCTTCAGTATTGCATTGAGGCAAAGTCATTTCCTTTTATATGAAGAAAAATAAACCACTGACTGAATATTATTAGCTTTTGAAAAAATGTGAAATTTGGATTTTAGCCCAAACTTCATACCACATGGACTTGTTAAAAATAATTTCTCTATTTTCTTTTTCCTTTCTCAGTATCTGGCTATAAATGAATTATAACAACTCATGCTCAACACTTCCAATGAAATGAGCTACTGTTATTTACATACATTAAAAATATATACTCAAAATTTATCCAATGAACAAATTAGAAGAATTCTTAAATGTAATTACTAATATGCTTAATTTTCAAATTCCTAGAGAGGGTGAAACCAATTATTGGAATTGTGAAGCTCTGTCTCATATACTTTGGGCCTGTTGCCAGGAGAGACCTGTCCTTGGAGAAGGACATCATGTTTGGAAGGGTAGAGGAACACCGCAGGAGAGGAATAACCTGGATGAGATGGATAGACACAGAGACTGTGTGTCAAGGGGGCAGGTGTGTCAGACACAGTAAGATTGGTTCAAGATAGGACAGGGTTCAAAGCTGTTGTTCATAGAGTCACTCTGAGTCATAGTTGACTGCGCAGCACATAACAACAAGGTAGACTATTCCATCAGTGCAGATTCCACTTCATTAATGGTTATCCTTTACATCTATTCTCTGAAGGGAAATACAATCAAACCAACTGCCATGGTGTGGATTCTGACTCATAGCAACCTTGTAGGACAGAGTAGAATTGTCTATAATAGTTTCTAAGGCTGTACATCTTTATCAAAGCATCTTTCTCTTATAAACCTGTTGGTGGGTTCAAACCACTGACCTTTTCTTTAGCAGACATATGCCTTAACCTCAGGATGCCTTAATCACTAGAGTTCCTTGAAGGAAGTATAGATTTTAAAAAATACAGTGTTTTTAAGGACTTGCTAAATAAAGAGTTTATGTAAAGATATTTTAGTTCAGTAATTTTAAAATCCTTTGTTGGCCAAACACAGAATCTATGCCAATCAGTTTTTGACCTCCAGCTATAGTAAGAGAGCTAAGCTCTAGTATCACAGTTGTTTAAATGTTCTCAACTACACCTCAAAACACAGTACTGATGGAATCTATAAAAGATTTGTCTGTACATTTCTCATTATAGGATCCTAGTTCCACTTAGGTGGCATACACTGTATATATTAGGTATTTTTTCTTTATTAATAAACACCATACAGATGTCTTACGCTTTTGGGCTACTTTGAATTTAGTATTATTATAAAAATTACATTTCTGGTAACAATTTACTTAGTTAATCTAGAAATTTCCAAGTCTAAGAAGAAATTATGTTCACTTTGAAAGATATGAAGCAGAAAAAGGAAATGATGTGGTTTTTAATTATGTTATTATTAGTCTGTGAACAAGAAACATTATTAAAATGTCCTTCTTTTGTTGGTGAAAAGCTTACTATGATGGTAGCTTCTAATTGGCTCACCTTCTTATTACATATTTTAGAAGTTGCTGTCTTAAAAAAGGGAAAAGTTAAGAAGATACCGGGTTTGTTGGTATTTTGTTTTAAAATCGACATCAGGAAAGTATTTTGTACAAATGTAATTTGAGCTGGTGCATGTGTAGCTTGTGTCTTTATCACAATATTTTATTACTTAAAGGGTATCTATGAGGGTTCTTAATGTCTCTTGGTAGGGGGTTTGGGGAGGGATTTTGAAGCTTGTCTTAAAATGTTATAAAATGTGGCCTTGTATACCATTAACCTTGTTTACATTTACTGAATGCCCTGTACATCCTAGAGACTGTGTTACACCTTTAGGGTGGATTAATTAATTTAATCCTATGCATGAGGTAGATGCTACTACAGTTGTAATTCCTGTTACCCAGTCAGGGATCTAAAGCAGAGTACAGGGTGAACGATTGACCAAGGGCATGAGGTAAATAAGTGAGAACTGGATATTGGCAGGTAAATTTCAAATCTTCAACTCACATATGGTATTTTAAATTATTCTCTACCATACCAGTGTGAAATTATACTCTACCAAGCTATGCTATGTGCTTAAAAGATACATTTTGGGAATTTCAGTGAGATTTGTTACGGAAACTCAGAAGCACATTGTATGTTATAAATCTCCTTTAAGTGATAGATGTTTTGATCTTTACTATTTTTGACTAGATTTTTGAAGTTCAGGGAAAGTAAGGAATTGTAAAACCTGTCAACCATGAAGCCTCTGTAGAGAATAGTCCTATAAAGTGTGTAAAATATAAATGTATTTTATCATTGTTGCTAACAAAGAGAAAAGCATATACTTAGCTATGATCATTCTTTTTTGAGATTAACTTGGAAATCTCAAGAGAGAAATCTATGTCATATCCATCAGATTACACAGGGTTTAGAAACGAACTATTTGGGGCTCACATGATCTTCCCCCAAGATTTCACTCTAAAACTCCAATCACCAGCAGAAACCATATTTCTGAGAGGCTTCTCTCTGCAAAATTGGAGAGAAACACTAATTTGCAAGTGCATTTTTTAGTGGCCTTCCTCTTTATACGCATTCATACTTAGAAAAAGTGCTCTTTTGATAAACTTATTATTGGTACTTAGGAAACAAACACACACAATGCACACATTTGCCAATCGTGCCTCTGCTTTGCTTTAACTTACTGAGCCCTGTTATCCTAATAGACAATGCATCTCCTTCCCCTTCTGTCTGCTAACCCTCCCTTTCCCCTCAATGTACCTGTAGATTTCACTGTTATTCACATATAGACTTCCTTCTCCATGTACTCACCTTTTTATCTGCTTTCCAGGCTAGCAATGATCTAATAAACACAAGGATCATAGATGCCAGGAAGCAGAAGGGATTTTAAGTTTTTAGAAGGTATTGTCAAATAAATTTGAAGCTGTTGAAATGAAATACAGGTGAGCAGCATATTGTAAGATTTAATAAATGTAAATGTTTATGGTTGGAAATATATAAGCAGTTTATATTTGATCATTTGATCTGGAGATCTGTGATCATTGATGTCCAATGAGTAGCTTTATTCATTGTAATAAATAATAAAGTTATAATGAGAAATCCAATTATTTAGTCTAATGCTTCACAAACATTAACATTTGTACATATGAACATGTCATACTTTTCAAGTTTGGACTAATGATTCGGTTATTTGTCCTATACCTATGCCTCTGGTATTCTGCTCCCCAAAGGATCATCAATGGCCATCTTTTTTTCCCACTTTTCAAATATAAAATCATAAATGTATTTGTTGAAATTACCTGTGTCCTTCCACAGTATTTCTGATGTATCCCTTTAAAAATCAAATACTTCCCAAAGTACACCATGAGTCAATCCTTGATGACCAGTGGTTTCATCCAGGAAGTGTGATTAACTGCCTCTGAAAACCCACCAGAGGGTGAACTATGGTTCTGATTCTACTGCACACAGCAACAGTTGACTTTTGCACATAATAAAATCTGTGTTAAAATTTTGATGAGTTTATTAGGGAGTGCATTGTGCCATCATCCAAAATCTACCATTGCTCACCCCTCTTTTCATATTTCAATACTTACAAACATTATGTGTTAGACAGTGGCTTCCAGGCTCTTTGTGAATATGAGGGAGAGCATAACCTTTGTTCTCAAGCAGTTTATAATCTAGTCTTACTGCCAAGCAACTTATATATTTCATGCTGCCTATTCCTTGCTATGTATCAGAGACCTGGACAATGACTAAGGATGACAGAAGAAGAATCAATGCCTTCAAATTGTGGTGCTGAAGAAGAGTCTTGAACATACCATAGACCGCCAAGAAAACAAACAGGTCTGTCTAGGAGAGGGTGAAACCATGTTTCTCCTTGGAGGCTAGGATTTTGAATCTCTGTCTCACATCCTTTGGGAAAATGGTCAGGAATGACTGGTCCTTGGAGGACATCATGCTCCAAAGGGTAGAGGGACAACACAGGAGAGGAAGACCTTGGATGAGATGGGTTGATACAGTAACTGGAGCAATGGGAGTAGGTGTGTTTGAATCAATGAGACTGGCTCAGGACAGGGCAGGCTTCAGAGCTACTGTACATAGGGTCACTATAGGCTGCAGGTGACTCAACAGCACATAACACACACACACACACACACACACACACACACACACAATCACTGGATAGAAGGCGCTAGTGGCCTAGTGTTAAGAAACTTCACTGCAATCCCAAGGGCATGCAGTTCCAATCCACCAGCTGCTCCATAGAAGAAAGATGGGCAGTCTTCTCCTGTGCACTTTACTGCCTCTGAAAACCCACTGGAGTGTCAGCTATGAGTGGGTTCTAACTCGAAGGCACACAACAACAACAACAACATTACTGGATCCAATAGATTTGGTGTAAAACGACTATTTTCACGCACTTAGAAATCCTCTAAAAAAATCCTTATTTGTAGTTAGATTACTGAGTAATCCACTCTTCAGAAAAATTATCTGCCCTGTGTTGTTGCCTACCTAAGCTAACCCCTTCCTGTCAGTGGTTTCAAAAGAAGTAAGAATGTCTATGGGGGAAATTTGATAGCTTTCTTAATAATGTACCTACTCTTCATAATTTCTCTCTGCTTGCTAACCCTCAGACCAGCCTATACTCATGGAGCAGTGGGCA